TACAGCTTACCGATTATCCAATTAGATTGGAATATTGCCAGAAAATGCAACAGAAAATACAAATTGATAATCAGTTTTTAGAAAAAATACTTTTCACCGATGAATCTACTTTTTCCAAAGATGGAATAATTAATTTAAGGAATTTACATAGTTGGGCTGAAGAAAATCCAAAATTTTTCAAAACTTGGAAATCTCAATGGAGATTTTCTCTCAATGTTTGGGCAGGGATTGTTGGTCCCGTTTTCTTGCCGTCAAGACTTGATGGCCCTACATACCATCAACATTTGGAAGGATTGGACGAGTTCTTAGGTGACGTTCCGTTAAATACCAGAAGGGACATGTGGTATTTACATGATGGTGCCCCTGCGCACAGCACAAATGCAGTGAAGGAATTTCTAGGGAACCCTTTCCCGGGACGGTGGATCGGACAATTTATAAATTGCCCAATGGTTTTACGTGATATTAGTTTATACTGTACCAAATTTCAGCACATTACCATAAATAGTGTTTAAGATATTTAGAAAAATGTGTTAAAATTCCATAACTTTGATGGCCTGTATCTTCGAAATTTGAGGACTTTTACTATTTTTTTTTACATGAATCGTCATCATTTTCACTCTAATATATGTGGTTAAATTTATTCCCCGAGTCACCGAAACACCCTGTATACTGAAAAATCACATTAAAGTTGAACACCGAAGCTACAAATTGTTTATTTATATTTTCAAGTTCAATTTGTAAGTTTTTAGTAACTATAAAGCTATTTTGTTGTTTTTCATAGTTTGATTGTAGAAATTCAAACCCTGAAGAAGCTTTAATAAAAAAAGCGAAATATTCAAGCATTAATTAATTTTTAAGCAAAATATATATATATTTTTGAAATTTCTTTGAATTATGTAGCATTTGTTTCGTCACTACTTGACCTAATAATAACAAGAACTGTCATCTATTTACAAATACTCTCCTCAATTAGATCCATCAAAGGACAAAACCAAAAGAGAACAAAATGATGAATTACCCATTATTTCTCATCCTCATAACCAGATAATGGATAGCCCAGCAGGACCTTGACGTCAACCCTCGAGGCGTTGTCTTCGAGAGGGCATTGTTAATGCCGCCGTTACTGTAAATATTTAACGTCGATCTCGGGGTTAGGCAGGATAGAGCAAAGCCTTCCCTCCGGTTTTCCTCCTCCGCTCGTTTGCCCTCTGTCGGAAAGGCGGGAATGAACTTCCGGGCTTCTGTCGGGAATTAAATATGCAAATAGGCGACGATGCGAGAATCTTTTCGACCCGAGCCGGGGTCATTACACCACCCACACATTACACGTGACCGATTTTGCTGTCTTCGTCCAAAGAATGCAAAGAGGGCAAATGCTGAATAATTTTACTTCTTACATAAACCTAACCGGGCGTTGCGCGTATTTGCAGACCGGATTAAAATCGGTTTATAGCAGGTCTAAACTGGGGCTGTACATTGTCTTAAGAGACGTGAGAGATACAGCAAAGGAGCTTAATGTAGTTCGTGAATTTATAATAGATTATGGAACGACTCCAAAGTTATAATTAAACCACAACAAACAATTATATTTTTAATAAGTACTGTGAAAAATAGATACAATTATAAATTAGTGTATAAATTTATTTTTTTCCTTCGTTTTCTTTTAAACCTGTTAAAGGTTTCATTAATTCTTCCATATTTCGAAATTTAACATCATTTTCAACAGGGGAACTTTTCGGAGGAAAACAATCGTCGTTCCTTTCGTTCCAATCGAACCTAGTTTGGCGAATATCCTTCTTAAACGATCTTAAGATAGCATTTTCTAAATCATCCAAAGTAATTTCTCTTTCAACGGTATTAAAATGATTTCTTTTCGTTTCTTTTATAAAATCTCCAATTTCATCCTCTTTCGGATTACTCTTTTTGCACACCGACTCTATAACATCTTTACTATCACCAATACTTAAGTCGTTTTTATTTGGAGAATTAACAATATTCATATTATTCAAATCGACGTTGGCTATATCTCCACCTTTATAATTTAGTTCAAAAATCTCGTCAAATTCTTTATTACTAATATCCAAAGCATCCGAATCTATATCAAGAGTCAGCTCGAGAGTGTTATCTTCTTCTAAACTGGTGATATTGTTGACGTCATCGTCCGTGTTTAAATGAATGTTATCGCATTTTAATGAAGTATTAATAAGTTCGTTTAGTTTCTTTTCGAAGCTATTTACGATTATGTCTTGGATGTAAGTCTCCATTTGTTTTTCGTCTCCAGTGTCCATTAGATCATCTAATCTTCCGTGTAATGTTGAAACTGCTTTATTGGCCAAAACTTCAAAGTGTTGTTTTTTATCTTCATCAACGGTTTTTTCATTGATTAAATATCTCAATTTATCTAAACTGTTATCAATGGCTTGTTTGATATTATCTTTTGGTGTCTCCATAGATTCTATTTTTTGGTCAACTAAAATATCTTCTTGAATAACTTGAACGGTTTCTTGAAGATTTATTTTCTCATCGCTAATTTTATAATCAATTTCTTCGGAAATAATCGTTATGTCTTCACTTAAATATTCCCCTGGACTTTCTAATTTTGATTGACTCCCATTATTAGTCTCTTTGGTTTCTATAGTAGCGGTTACTTCTAATTGATTTTTGACAACCTTCGATAAAACATTTAAAGTTTTATCGGTATTCTCTAAAATTCCTTCCACTCTTTTAATTCTACTCCAATTATCCAAACTTAAACTTTTCCTCAATGGAATAATGGGTCTGTTTTCATCAATATTTCTTTCGAACAATTCCCCAATGTCGTTATTTTTAAGAAGCGTTGAATTTATGGTACTTTCGATATCTTCATTTAAATATTTATTAGTTTTACACACGAATTCCTTGTGGATTCGCTTATCGTCGAATCTCATCTTGGTCGATCTAATACATTTTCTAATTAAGTCAATGATAAATCCGAAAATGATGATAGCTCCAATACCGAGTAATAAAACCCCGAAAATAAAGGCAACAAAAACTATACCCGGCGCAAACATGTATGTGTCGGATATTATATGAACGAAATGGAAAACTAAGCTGTAAAGTGACATTGTTGTTGTCATGTTGAATGATATGACTGTCTTTTGTCATTTTGTAATCGTTCATATTTACATCGTCCCTGGTCTCCATCAACATTATCTATGGAATCTCTCAAAATCATTTCCGACACCCTTCAGCATCGTGGACTGCTTTTCTCAATATCGTTACCGACATCCATACATTAGTAACAAACATCGTCCCTTACATCACAAACATTTTCAGTGACATATTACAAAGTCGTCTCTGATGTATTTTAACCCTTTGTGTCCCGACGGTACTTTAAAGTACCTGTAATTTTAAACACTCATTTTAAACTGTAGTTATCTATTCGGCGCATTTAGAGCTGTCTGTACTTTCTACTATACAAGTGTATACAAGA